TTTTGCCACGGGATGTAACTAGGATTTACACAAGCTTCAGTCTGGATGCAGAACACCTGAGAAGAGATGATGCCAACCCCTCAGAGGATCTCAGATGATGCCAACCCTGAAACAACATAGAGAACTACCACATTTTGCTATAAGTTTGATTGCATCATATAATAATTGCTGTTAATATTATTCATCGTCTGTTTTATTACGTCTTATATTGATTTTTCTGTACTGCTGGTTCGTCTGGTCAGAGGAGAACTGGCCCCCCGACTGAGCCTGGTTTCTCCCAAGGTTTTTTCTCCATTCTGTCACTGATGGAGTTTTGATTCCTTGCCGCTGTCGCCTCTGGCTTGCTTAGTTGGGGACACTTATTATCCAGCGATATCGTTGACATGATTGCAAAGATACTATTTAAACTGAGCTGGATGTTGACATCACTGAATTCAATGATGAACTGTCTTTAACTGAAAAATGAGTGTTTACTATTGTCATTTTGCATTATTGACACTATTTTCCTAATTAATGCTGTTCAGTTGCTTTGTCACAATCTGTATTGTTAAAAGCACTATATAAATAAAGGTGACTTGACTTGACTTGACTAGGATGCCTCGAGGGTGAGTAAAACACAGACCCTTTAAGTTTGATCACTGTTAAAGATAGAATGTCCACTAATGTGTTTATTTACAAAAAGGCATGAGTGGTGAAAAATTAGTTTTTCATAAAACTGCAATTTATATGTATTATTTCTATAGGTTATACAAAAAAAAAGACAAAATAATTAGGCTGAATAAGCTGATCTATAGCATGTTAAAGGGGTCATATGATGCTTTTTTAAAGATCATTATTTTGTGTATTTGGTGTAACAGAATATGTTGACATGCTTTAATGTTCAAAAAACACATTACCATAATCGCGAGCTACATCTTTCAAAATAAATGTAAATACAAAGACCGAAAGGGGAACGGAGTGGCGTGACAGACACAGTGATGAAGCTGGTATGTGTTTGCAGTACACAAGCCACGGTTAAGACAGCTGACTCCTGTGATCTCTCTCTCTCTCTCTCTCTCTCTCTCTCTCTTTGTCTCTGTCTCTCTCTCTCTCTCGCGCGCGCTCTCTCTCTCTCTCTCGCACACACACACACACACACACACACACGATGCGCAAAACTCTGCATTTGAACAGTCCATAACAAATACTTAAACTAGTAACAAAACAGTAGCTGATTCAGAAGCGCCGGATTGTCATAGCAAAGTCAGAATTACTTCCTCTCCTAGGTTCACGAAACGGTCATCTATAAAATGCATTGCTGTTCTGTTGTAAGTAATCTTAAAGATTCCTAAATGCATCTACTTCCGGAAGGCCAAATAAAGTGCTTTTGCTTTCGCCTAGAAACACACAGCGTCTCCCTGACATGCTGCTTCAACACTAACTGCGGTTACTGGAACCACGCCTTCTTTCTCTGCGTGCACATTTGGGCGCATTATGCTAATATTTCCACATAGTGAGGTAGATATGTGGGGGCGTGTTAGAACGAGGCGTTTTAGGGGGGCGTGGCAGAGTCTTAACTTTGATAAAGAATATCTCTTTGGTTTTGAGACTTTAGTCTTTGCAACTTCAGGGATCTTATCTATGCACAATCAGCTTGTAACACTCCAAAGAGAAAGAACAACTTGAAATCACATCATATGACCCCTTTAAATGGTGGTTGCCTAGTCTATGAATGGTACACCCCCCTAAGCTCACAGAAGTGGTTTGACCCAAGTCCTCAGCAGCCAATGACACTGACCCCTCAAACTGATTGCATATTTTTTTCACGTGTCAAAATTCACGTGTTTTTGGCCCTTTTGGCCTTCCATACAAGCATGCGCAGCTGCGTCGAGGCCTGAAGGGTCGAGCTGCAGCAGGTTGACTGACACGCACATTCACAACACGCCGTCAGAGCCAGACACGAGATAAAGCAGATAAAGCCTCATGTCACCAGACATCAACTTTAGAGAGAGGAGCGCAATGAAGCGGCTCAGGGTTTTAATTACAGCAGATGTGCCCAGACGGATCCACACGGCCCTGGATTAATCACTCCATCACATTTTACTGGGAAATATTCCACTTAATAACCAGCTGAAATGGTCAGGAATCCTTTCAGGCTCTGTTCTGTGGACTTATATCACATATCATAGTATTACATCAATAAAAATAAAACTATTTCTGATGGGCAAATATTGTTTTTCAGTTGTATTAGTTCAAAAATCACCAGTTCACCGAAGCACAGGTTATTAATGGTGATAATATTAGCAAGATCTGCTTTTATTTAGCATGTTCTCGTTAATAAAATAGTATATATGAATGCTTATATTAGTAAATTAATACGCAAATATATGAATAAATTATCACATTCATATTTATTTGCCAGTGAGTGTCAGTATAGTTCACAGACACGTCTCGGTTCAGTCAATAAGTAACTATTTCTGCTGCTGTTTATGTAGTTTATGAATAAATGGTGCCGTTTATAACGTGTCGCTGATATCGCGAGAGTTTCGAGCCCTAGTTCGTATGAGTTCCACAGATCTCGCGAGACTGTAGAGCGGCACTCTGATCATCTATAGCTCCTTTTAAGAAATATGAAGCATTGATAATACACGCTGATAAGTTAATAACGTGAATTTTAATTTAGTTATCACTGTTACAAGCCACCAAGACGTTCATATATTAATATAATCATCTTTATGTGTTAATTTAATGAGTGTTGGGTTTGTTTTTATAATTTATAAGAGCCTCCAATAGTCCAGCAGTTCTTCATACACAGAAAAATCTATCCTGATATGAAGATATTATTGATTAAATCAGTTCATTCGTTTTTATTGTCTCATTAATTTCAGTTGCTTTATATTAAACTTGATTTTTTTCTCAAAATGTATTTATTTATGAAAAAGTTATGCATTTTGACAATATATTAAGCTAAAAGGGATTAAAACAGTTAGTAAAAAATGTAAATGATTCAATGTTTTTTTCTCAAAAATCATGCATTTATGAAAAAAGCTACGAGTTTTGGCAATACATGAAGCTTATAGTGATTAAAAGTTAATCAAATAAATAAAATGTAAATAATTGTTTGATCTATTGTTTATTTTCTCCCAAAAATCATGTATTTATTTATGATAAATGTGTGAATTATGACAACAGTGGTGCTGGTTTCAGGATCTTATATTGTGGAATGTTATATTTTTAATTATATTTCACTTAAATCACAGTCAGATACGATGCAAAAAGAACAAGGGGAATACAAAGTGCGAAAAATCATAAAATACAAATAGAACTAAAATTCTGGTCTTGTGATGTCATGATTGAAATGATTTCAAGATGAGTATTACTAATAAATGAGGGTTATGTTATTGTTTTGTGCTCTCTGCCGCCCTCTAGCGCTCCGCCCTCGTCGCTTCCGCCACGCCCCTCTTCTGCCATATTTGGCTATGCCTTACTAAAGCGCCTGTGATTGGTCCGCGCGGCATCGGAGCCGAATGACCCGGATTTGCAAGCGTCGCGCCCCTCCCCCGCAGGAGCCCGGATGAGGAAGTGCAGCGCTGACAGGGCTGGGTTCCGTCAGAGAGTCGAAGCCGAACCGCGTCCAGACAGACCCGAGCAGAGCCGCACAGCGAGCCGAACCCTCCGCCACAGCCGCCTCCAGTCCCGCAGACACCGCCAGCGAGCGCCGCAGACATGGTAAGAGCCGCCGCGGACGCGATCTGAGCCGATGCCCGTTTTAGGAAGAGACGCGCCTCGCCTCGCCTCACAGAATCCGAGCCGAGCACAGTACACACTGCAGTGCACGCTGTAGTACACACTGAGTGAACACTGTAGTACACGCTGTAGTACACGCTGTAGTACACGCTGTAGTACACGCTGTAGTGCACACTGAGTGAACACTGTAGTACACGCTGTAGTACACGCTGTAGTACACTCTGTAGTACACTCTGTAGTGCACACTGAGTGAACACTGTAGTACACGCTGCAGTACACGCTGTAGTACACGCTGAAGAACACGCTGTAGTACACTCTGTAGTACACTCTGTAGTGCACACTGAGTGAACACTGTAGTACACACTGTATTGCACGCTGTAGTACACACTGAGTGAACACTGTATTGCACGCTGTAGTACACACTGAGTGAACACTGTAGTACACGCCGTAGTGCACGCTGTAGTGCACACTAAACACCCGAACGAACACTAGAGCACGAACACCGAGGGCTGGAGTGTGTTTGGTGTTTGTTTGGGTTTAATGTGGCAGTTTCTCGGGTTAGTGTTTGAAGGTTTTAGTATTTATATATCTCATTTTTGAGTTTAGTATTTGTAGGCATGGTGTTAGAGTTGTTTTTAATTATTATAGAACACTATGTAAAGCATGTCCGTCTGCTTCTATGACAGTTTCTGTCTGTCACAGTTCAGTGTTTAGTCCTCTACTCTTATTAAAACTCCTCTAATTTGAGTGTTCGTGGCTGGGTTGAGTGTTTAAAGGAGCAGTTCACTAACAGATGAGGGATAATTACCTGATCATTTACTGGCCACATGTCCTCCGAGATGTCTTTCTGTCTTCAGGCGCAGAGAAATGAAGGTTTTTGAGGAAACCGTTCCAGGATGTTTCTCCATATAGTGGACTTCAGTGGAGATCAACGGGTCCCAGCCGAGGAATACCAGTCTTAACTAGCCAAACCATCGCTCATTTACTAAAAAAAAATAAGCATTTATATAGTTCTTAACCACACATGCTCGTCTTGCACTAGCTGGACTTCATGCGTGACGTAATCACGCTGGAAAGGTGTTGTTAGCGTTTGAGGGTTTAAGGTGGTGTTTGTTGGTTTAGCGTTTGAGGGTTTAAGGTGGTGTTTGTTGGTTTAGCGTTTGAGGGTTTAAGGTGGTGTTTGTTTTGAGGGTTTAAGGTGGTGTAGCGTTTGAGGGTTTAAGGTGGTGTAGCGTTTGAGGGTTTAAGGTGGTGTAGCGTTTGAGGGTTTAAGGTGGTGTAGCGTTTGAGGGTTTAAGGTGGTGTAGCGTTTGAGGGTTTAAGGTGGTGTAGCGTTTGAGGGTTTAAGGTGGTGTAGCGTTTGAGGGTTTAAGGTGGTGTTTGTTGGTTTAGCGTTTGAGGGTTTAAGGTGGTGTTTGTTGGTTTAGCGTTTGAGGGTTTAAGGTGGTGTTTGTTGGTTTAGCGTTTGAGGGTTTAAGGTGGTGTTTGTTGGTTTAGCGTTTGAGGGTTTAAGGTGGTGTTTGTTGGTTTAGCGTTTGAGGGTTTAAGGTGGTGTTTGTTGGTTTA